CTCTAGACTCTAGACATCTCTAGACCTTCCTAGGATGGCCTCCAACCCAAGAGCAATGGCCTTCAACTCAATAAACTCTAGACTCAAGACATCCCGAGACCTTGCTAGGATGGCCTCCAACCTAACAGCAATGGCCTCCAACCTACTAGAGATCGCCTTCGACTCAATAAACTCTAGACTCTAGAAATCTCTAGACCTTCCAAGGATGGCCTCCAACCAAATAGCAATGGTCTCCATTTCTCCGTTTCTCCGTAAGACGAAGGCGCCGCAGCTTTCGCGGAGGTGACCCGTTACCGAACTACGACCTAAGTCGCTACACTCTCGATGTCCTCACCGCTGTGAATGTTTGCAAGTAGGTTTCGACAGCTTTGAAACGTGCTGGGCTGAAGCGGGGACATACACAGTGAGCCCAGAAGCGGACACAAGAGACGATGGCCTGGCATACTGGGAAGTCAACATCTTATTCTCAAGCTTGTAGACACGCAGCAGCAAGAGACGAAACCATTTGACCCTCTCCACCACTGTACGTTGGTTGGCTGCGGGTCGAGAAAGCCTCTGCAGTCTCGTCGATAAAAAAGGCTGTTGCTCCATTCTGTCAGGCGCTCCCACCCGTTCCCAACAAGCTTATGTGTGTCCGTTTGGGGCCGAGCTGGAAGAGGGACCATGGTAGCCTCCGTCCGAGGCAAAGCAACATCAAGGACTGGTGGATCACTGGGATCGATGCGGCGTATCTCGAATGAGGGCTGCTTCACTGACCTTCACGACGGTCAGATGTATCTGGTCGCGGAGCACTCTGGCCGCATCAAGGTCAGTGATGGCCTGTTGCCATTTAGCCACAAGATCTTGGGTGGCTCGCGTACTCCATTGTGCACAATGATCTGCTTGATCATTGCCCTTGAAGGCCCACCATTCAACCCAATCCTGGCCGGTTTTGCACTGATGGCTAGCAACTGTGTGCACTGTGCCCGGCTGGACAAGGTGGGCCACTGTCACGAGGATGCTCCAAAGATCGTGGTCAGTTGGGCTTGGACGGATGGTCTCCGATATAGGGCCGTGCACAGTGTTCTCACCACTTGGGCGTTATCGCTCCATATTCTGGTCTTGTGGCCGAGTCGAACGGCGAATCGAAGTGCACAGGTGGCTGCAAGGATCTCTGCCCTCACACTGGTTTGCTTTCTGCCAGGGACCAGGCCTTGGGCCAGTGGCCACCAACTCGAAGGGTCTTCCGGATGGGCTGCAACCACCCCCCAACCACCCCCCAACCGCCAAGGCATGTGTGGGGACATGTCGGATTTAGGCAAGAGCCATCTACAAACAAGTCACAAGGGGTGAATGGGATGGGATCACAGCAGTCAGTGAGGTCCGGCAGCGCTCGCAGAGCTTGATGGAGCGCGTGCACCGATGGCGGAAGGCCCATCCACGGATGGTAGGCGAGGCATTTTGGGAGCCCACCATGTCGGACCTGTTGCACAAGCCAGGGGAACGGGCGTGCGTGTTCAAGGTGCTCACAGTCCCCAAATCTGTGGCGCTGGGAATCTTGATGACCACAAAACTTACAGGTCAGGGTGTGGGCTTTACTACTATGCAGCTGGGTATCTGCTGTGAAAAAGGTTCCATTCAGGGCCTTTCGAAGGAGACCCAGCTGATGCGTTGACCAGGTGTGTGCTTTTCCAGGGTGAACGTTGCATTGCACCACTCCATGGCCTGAATTGTTTTCTACGGCTAACACTTTGCTGCGCAAAATTCTGCCATCCCTGCATGAGACGGTCACGGAGCTCTGTCAGAGCCCCATGGAACATGTCGACGGGACTGCCTTCATGGTCGACTAGCCAACCATGGCCTAGCCATTTCCAGCCTATCCAAAGCAATCGGTCTAACAAGACGTGGCATGGTCCAGGGCGTGTTGGAAGCTCTTTCCAGTCGAGGAGAATGCGTTCGATGATGTTGTGGACCTGGTCATGATTGGTGCACCTACGAACAGTCTGCGCTGTATGGACCAGCAGATGACAACCAGGGTCAGTGAGTATGAGGGACAAATGGACCATAGGGCTGATGCCTGGTGCATGAGCCCGAATGCCCCGGCATGCTCCTGTGCGTAACGTGCAAAAGTGGGCATCTCCAAGTGGAGCTGAACTGCAGGCTGCCAAGGCCTGTGGCCAACCTTTGGTCCGCAAGGCATGTACCTTTTGGCGATAGGGTGCTGGAGACTTAGTGCTTGCCAGCCGGTTCCGAAGGTCATGGTTCGTGTTCTTACGGCCATATTCCATGTGCGCTCCTAAGTCCCGTGTCGAGGACTGCAATGGAGTTGCCTGCTGTCTGGCCAGTGCTCTATAGTCCGCACTGTTGGACCAAAAGTATGTCTTGGCCTGGTCAAGTTGCAAGTCTAACAAATCACAAAACTGTAGCAATGGCCTCCAATCTACTGGCGATGGACTTCAACTCAATAAACTCTAGACTCTAGACATCTCTAGACCTTCCTAGGATGGCCTCCAACCTAATGGCAATGGCTCTAGACCTTCCTAGGATGGGCTCCAACCTACTAGCAATGGCCTCCAACCTACTAGCGATGGCCTTCAACTCAATAAACTCTATAGACTTTAGACATCTCTAGACCTTCCTTTCTTTCTTGGGATGTGTATGTCCAGTCATACAATCTGAGTGCTCCCGACCAAATTCCCACCTGAAGCGCTCCTCAAGACTCCTTGGCCTGCGGGTTGAAGCAGCTCCTGACAAAGACAAAAACCACCTTGGTCTCAAAGTTATTGACGATATGCTGCTTCTTTTCATGCCCAACTGAAATGATGTCCTTCAAGCGACCACGCCTGCGCTTCTCCTGTTGTGTTCAACCGACTAGCTACAAACTGGTTTCGGTTTCACCATATGGCCTGTAATTGCAGTTAACAAATCCAATTTGGACATAGGTTGTACCTGATTGTACTAAGAATTGCCGCGTGTCCTTTGAGAGTCTTCGGTAGCTGCGTGCCATGGATAACACCTGCGCTCTTGGGATTGCTCAGCAAACCCACTTTGCAGCATCCAACTGTGTCCAGTTCTCAGGTATCAACTTTTGGAAAACAAAGGGCAAGAAGCTACTATAGTAACAAAGGGCATCGCTACTAGGAGCAAGAAGCTACTAGTAGCTCCTGGCATTACGACTAGGAGCAAAATTGCACTAAGATCAGAATAGTCCGTCGTGTCTACCTTACTCGAAAGATTCTGATGTAGAAACAACATTAAACAACTAAGAAAGACAGGAGAATTGACATGAACTAGAACACCAAGAAGGAAGAATGAAGCAACACCAACAATCTGCAATGGCTGAGAATTGGCTCTTGCTTATTCAAAGTATATAAATATTGCTTTTGATGCTGGCATTAAACATCCAATTTGAATACCGATGCTGTGTTTGGCAGCCTGCTGACACGACACCACGCCAAAAATGTCAGTGTGGTTTTCATGCAAACATGGGTGGTCCGGGGCGGTGGAACATTTTGAGAGTTTGTGCAGCAACTTGCTGGTTGACAGCATGACAGTGCTGAACACTGCAACTGTTGATGCTTGTTTGGTGGTGCTATTTTGGTTGCATGGTCTTAGGGAACCTTTGCTTCTCAGACCTTTTCTTCGGGTGAATCCCTTTCTTTGCACCCGTCTAATACAATTAGTATACAATGAGTTTGTAGTTTGCAGATATTTTGACACGGTCCTTGCAGCATGACACACTTAGATTAGCTGTTGAAACATATTGAAGCAACTTTGATTTCTGACAGGTCTTGGGTTGACTGGGATCGGATTGGTGGTTTTTGGGGCCAGGATGTTCACCAACCCGCTTAATCATTGATGATGTAACATGAACAGTTTTGCCTTTTTTTAACCAGAGGTTCCACAAAAAGTCATTTGCATACTACCAGCGAGATTACCATGCCATTCTTCTGCTTTCCTGGTGTCCGCTCTACACGAAGTGATCCCTGTCAACTTCAAATCCATGCTCACGCATCCCACTATTATTTGGTACCAGTACATGAAGCTGCGCTGAGCTGCAAGCCCAGCTAGATGAAGACCCCGCTCCAGGCTTGATCTGAGCCTGGCAAACCACCCACTTCAGATTAAAAAAAAAAGAGGCCAGAAAACCAACATACCCAAACACTCTCAAACAAACAAGCTTTAAACTGCCACAGCACCTTTGCCGCCATCGTCTCATAGAAGCGCCTCAGTGGGAAGTATTCAAGCGATTGCCTAAACTCCCGCTGGGATCGCCAAGATGCTCTAGGCCTGGAAGTGCCTGCCTAAGCAGTGGGAACATCAAAACACTTTACACTATTTTACACAAAATGACAAATGCTGAAGGCAGAAAAGATTGACCCAAGGCAACAACTGCAGGCTCTCATCCTCCGTGTCTTCTACGTTGACTGAAGACTCACTCGGTCCTGGAGTTGCTCTTTGGATGTCTTGATGTCATTGGATAAAAACAACATGTGGGCACGGAAGCACCGCACTCGATTCGCCTACAGTAATAACTGTGATGATTGTCCAAACAGTGATGCTCCAGCTAGGGCGTTTGGTGGACAAAAGCAACTACTTCATGCTCCCTCCAAGGTTTGTCCGTCACACAGGCTGTTCATGCTACGCAGCCTCCCTCTCCCGCTCAGACCTTCTGACGCGTAGCCCTCTCTCAAACGCCATTTCTCACCGCCAACTGCATCTACTGCTAAAGCCTTGGACGTCGATGCCAAGGCTGTCTGTTGCAATCGGGTTAAAGGAGCCTTATTAAAGGCCCTTTCCTTTCTTTGCCTTTGCAAAACATTTCTGTTACGTACCAGCAGCTATCGCGATGTTGGTGTGCTTGTGTGTGTGCTTCTGTTGTAGGGTGCTCACGGCGGAGCGGAAGCATGGTGAAGTTGCCGAGAATGCAGGAACCTGACGCTCAGGCGATGGAAGGCCATGATTACCCGATGTAAAAACTAGCTAAACTAGCTAGCAGAGTTTTTGCTGCGCCTCTGGCCAACCTTCCTTCTTTGAAGGGTGAGATTGACCTTAGCCGGGAACTTGGTGATGTGGTAAGGAGAAAGCAAAAGTCTAAATGTCGGTAAGAATCTTCAAGCGTACTCTCTTGGTCTTTATTGACTCTATCAAGCTCTGCGACAATGTCCCTACTTCATTTCTCTGTATTCTCACAGTCTGAGAGCACAGCTTGACGAAACCTTGTTCTACGTTGCTCTTGTTGAGCATTCAGGCAACACCATCTCACTCTGCCGTGTTGGTGCTTTGAAAACCCCAAGTCTGTGGAAGGGACAAAAGGAGCATTCGAAGAGGCAGCTGCCTGCGAACCACTCAGCTATCGTGCGCCCAAGTACGAGGAATGTTTGCCGGTTGAAATAGATCTGTCTCCCCAACCCCGAGGCCTCTGACATAAACCTCACGCCATTTGAGGCTCTGCCAGAGCCAGGCTCTGCTTTGCACTTGAGTCAAAAGCAAATCTGATCCTGCTTATACAGGTACAAATCCTATGATGCAAGCCTTGAGGGTGCAACATTGTCAAAAAAAAACTGTATTCACACCGAAATGTGAAGGCCAAGAAACCATTCGTTCTTGTGCCAAAAATGTTCTCGAGGCACGGCTGCGTATGCTGCGGGAAAAAGGCTGTTGCAAGCAACATGCAAACCGCAAGTTGAATTGGACGAGTCAGTTGACCATATCATCTATGTATATATATATATATATTTCATTATATATCCTTTTTGAGCAAGTCGAGCAGCTCCAAACTCACTAAATATGCGGCGCAGCAATGATGCGGCCAATGACGTGCCTAACAGAAACAGGTAAAATTGTGTGCCATTGAACTTTCGGTCTCATGACATGAGTCATGAGTTTGACAGCATGTAAAAATAGTGCGCAGAACAGGACAAAAGGTTCCTGGTGGTCATCTGCCAAACCGTTCTGCTTGACCTGCAGGCAATCTGTTTTAAGTCCCAGAAGTGCCAGGATCCTCAGGATCCTGGATCCTCTAACTCTAACTTCCTTCAATTTCCTCTTCCAGTGATTTAATTCTTGATCCTGTCCTGCATTCTGCCCCAGGATGCTGGCAAGCTCAGCCCTCAAAGCAGTGACCTGGTGTCGTCAAGAACGCATTGATGTGAGTCAAGTCTGATTCCCTCAAGGCTAAACCCAGCTGAAAGCGTCACCCGACCTGTGCAGTTGCAGTTTCTGCCGCTTGTCGGCTTGCAGCCACATCCAAAGCGGCCTGGTCCAATCTTCTGGTTACTTGGACACGCCTGCCAAGAATATCATGGGGCATTGCATAGTGATGAGCACCTGATATTTTCAAGGTTTTTGGGTGGACAAGTCAGTCTGCCTCTGTTTTTGCACAGAAACGCCATGCTACGTTTCCCGACCCTTATTCAACGCATCCTTCAAGGCCACACAATCCCTGAATTCATCCCTTTATATAAACAGGCCAAAGATACAATTCGGCGACCTGAACATGTCCAGGACACTTTTGAAGGCAGTTCCAGAGCTGAGATGATGTGTCATTGAAAATGCGGCTGTCTGTCCTCGTGCTCCAGTCGTGCGCACCGAGCTCGTAGCCCTTCTTCGGGATCTTAGCTGCTTCCAATGCATCTCTGGCTTGAATACTGCTCTTTGCCGTCAAATGCCCACAAAGGCATTGTAAGGATCAAACCACCGTACACCTGGTTGTCCACCTGTCATATCTTCCAAAAGATTATGGTTCAATGAAAACAGCCATCTCAGTGGGGCACCCAACAGAGGATTTGGGCCTGATTTTGTCAAAATTAGCCAGGCAATTGATAGACTGACCAACCCCAATAACAAGACTCTACAGGGCCCCCTATCCAAGACCCAAACTTTTGCCGCCCCACAACCTGTTTGCAAGCTGGCTCTTCGCCATTTTAGCCAGTGCTCCATGTCACTTGTTCCAGGCCTTGCTGCATGGATGTGGTTTGTTGGGATGCTGTATGACAAGCCCTTGCCCTGTTGAATTCCAACACAAAAATCCCAAGACCCTTTTTTCAGAGATGACCCTAGGGATGCTCACCAGGTGCACAAAACTCGGTCTAGTCATGTGGTGCACTGAGTCTTCAAAGGTGGTGAGTGGTCACCTTGGACTGTGAAGGAGTGCGCCGCAAAGCCGTGGGAATGTAAGGAACTACAGGAGGTGTCTGAGATCTTAAACAATTCAGGAACTTAAATATAGGAATTCGGAATACCACACCAACTCGCGATCGATCCAACGTTCGCCCCTCAAAAGCCCTTCCACATTGTGGGGTGCTCAAGGGTGGGTATATACGAAAGACAAGAATATCCACAAAACATGCAACATCATGCAACCATTAAAACACCAACACTGGTATAAGACACAGTGAAGGAAGAAAAGGATGAATTACCGCATCAGCAAACGAAAGCATCTAATTTGGAACTTCGAGCACATCAAGCGGTTGTTGCATGCGAATGCATTGTTTGATTATTTGGTAAAGACTATGGACTTTTATCTTTATGCGAGAGATCAGAATATGGCGGGTCGCCACAAAGCTCGGAAGATGCGAGCAGGGAGGGAGCAACGAGTGGATAAAATTGCTTGGGTAAAGAGGCATATGCTGTAATATTTTGGATGAGCAAATCTGCAAGCGGAAGTGAAGGACGTCCCGACATACCACCTACCAAGCTACGATGGAATCCAAGGCGTACAAGCGAGCTTGCGTTAGTTTCTTGCAACAAGGGTACAGCGAGCATTTCAGCGTGTTCTCAAGATATCGCACCACAGAACGCAAAACACCGGCCTGATGCCACAAACTTTGTTTTTCATCTGGTTGAATGTTCGCTTCAGGAGAATCGAAAGCATATAATTTCGGCAACTTACCATCTTTGGTATATATCCAAATTGGAAGAAATTGACCAGTATAGATAGCGTAGTACAAGGCGAGCTCATACCAGCAGATTCCAAAATCACCTGGGACGACTGACCGTTCTGGCGGACGCCAGCGAAATGTGCAAAACATTTGCCACACCTTATAAGCCAAAGGGCCACGCTACTAGGGGCTCCTGGCATGGCTACTAGGGGCAAGGACGCTACTAGGGGCTCCTGGTCTTACTACTGGGAGCAAGGACGCTACTAGGAGCAAAGGGCCACTTTGGCACCCGAGGGACAGGCCAGAGCAATAAGTTTTGGCAACGCGACATCAAAGGTCCACAGGCGGAAACCCACGTCGCATTGAATTAAAGCGCATTTGAAATGTGCATAAGCATCCAGTGTATTGAATTGGTGCGCCTCAGCAGCATCTTTTTCTTTTTCAATCTTTAGCTTGCTGTGGAGTGCGTTGAGATCAGCCAGGTATGTATAAACTTGAAGCAAAGCCTCAATTTGTCGCTCGGAATGTTCGAAAAATGTCTTTGGATGCATCCTGGAGCATGGGAAGATCAATTTTGGTAATTTGTTTTGCGGTCATATCGGCTAGATCATTTCCCAAAATGGTGTAGAGATCTGTGGTATCATGCGCATCATGAAGTTTTCGATGAGATTTAACTTTTCGTATCTTTTCGTATATCATGGTACATGGGGTCCCGGAATTGATGCACTGTCTGAATCAAGTCCGCATGAACCTTTTGATACATCCTGGGATCTAGAGTATTACTAGAGACAGCATCAACGATGCGACGCACGAACTCTGAATCTGTATAGACGGACATAAACTGTCGTGGTCGTGACTGCGCGAAAAAACGTGCCAACCATGCAACAGATCCCAATTCCCCTCTATTAATCGATTGCGTCCCACAGACATGGGAACATTGAGTTACAACGAAATCGTCCATGGATGGATCCTGAAAATTAGAACGGACGTGCTGAACAACAGCCCAAGCAGGGTAAGTCACAAGTCCCGTCTGTGTAGAACACATCATGCGGACAGTCAACTAGTGTTGGCGAATCCATGAAGGGACCCTGCCGGTTATTTTTGATAAAATTTATAGATCGTTTCATCGTGGCCAATGGAAGCCATAGCAAATTGGGAAACTCTTGGAGAAGGCGAACAGCCCCTGGGTGCTTCTCGAAGGTGTTCAAAATGAGCGCATTCCAATTGGCGATGAGAGTGAGTATCAGGCAAATCGCAATAAGGACACTGGATAGAGTGGGACGAGTCCCATAGAGACTTGACCGCCTCGGTCTGATAACCCCCTGTGAGATTAAGTGCAATCAACTTACGTGTATTGTCTGACAGTTTACGGTTAACTTTATGTTGAACATAAGCATCAAAGGGGTGAAAGTAACACCCTTTCTATGTTGGGTATGTTCAAACATGTACACGGACCATGCCATCCGGAGGGACCGACCGCGAATAGACACTTTTTGACCATCCGGAAGGTCAAGCGTTCCATCAGCTTTTGGCTTCCATTTAACCTTGTCAAGTTATTGCGCCAACGCTGCAGAGGGGCCACACTTAGTGTCTTCACCAACAACATGAAGCCACATTTCTTGAGCTAGTTGAGGGTGGTATTGGAATAGCCGCCGAAAACTACAAACGGCTGTGGCGATCACATAGAGCAATGGATCATCCACTTTGTCTGAAAGAAGATGAATGAAGGGCTAACAACGATGAGGCATACTTATGTTTACCTACAAGTACATTCGCAGCTTGTCGCCGAAGTTTGACGAAATGTGTATCCCCGATGAATTGGCTTTCGGCGGCATAGAAGGCCAGTGGCCAGACTGCAGACTGGATTTTAGAAGCCGTTTCATCAATGGTCAAATTATATATATCAAATTATGACGACATAGACGAGCAAGTCGTCGACCAAGCGCAGCCATGCGATCTTTTAGGCAACAAGAACACATTGCTTAGTATATTGCATGGTGCATCCAAGGTCTTTAGCGGCATGGCGAACCAAAATTTATGTTTGGTCCGATGGGAATAAAACATGAATATGGTGCCAGAAATCACGCATAGACTTGGAAGTTCCCAAGCCCCAGGATTTCAGGATATCCAGTTTCATCCTAAGTGCGTGTGTGACATTGAGAGTAATTAGTTCGCATGGCACGAAATAGACACCTCTCATCTTGTTCAAAGATCGAACCCGGAAGTTAATGGCCATGTCCGGTGCCCCGAAATGAATTAAAAGCTGGCGGGCAGTCAGTCGAGGAATTCGGAATACCATGAATTGCAAGCATGATTGAGCACAAGGACGATGCTGCGAATACACACTTAGAGAAAGCTCGGAAGAACATAGATTCAGGAGATTTCAGGAGGTATTCCGCGGTAGTTCGTTACAACATCGCATTAGACGACCTAGCAAAATCACCTGGAAGTGGCCCTGAGCACAGCGGAAAGGTGAAGCGTCCGACAACAGTATGGTTTACATCGGGTGAAACTCTGCAGGTACAGGTTCATGCGTCCGTGAACCCATCCACCGAACTTCCATTCATAGCTTCGTTAGGCAACGTAGGAAGAATTCGGAAGAATGGTTGTTACCCCCTGCATCTATTCCGGATCTCAAAGTTCCAAAGTGAATTTTCACAGAAGTGTGGCGAAACCTTATAGAGACAGGGGTTGACACGCTTAGACAATGGGTTTGCAGTTACATCAATTCCCCGAGGAAAGGAATGGCTCAACGGCAAGGTGAAGCGTCCGATCACTTGAAGGTGTTTGAAAAAATGTCTCTCATCTGCGGAAGACTGCGGTGGCAAGGTGGAGAAACGCCGCAGGAAAAGGGTTAGGGGAGGTATTGTGCGGAACAACCATGGCACCAACAAACAGCGGCGACAATTGGAGTGGTATCACGATGCAGGTACATGGTTGAGCGTCCTCAACCACTTCCCTTCCAGTGACCCAGCTTCGTTGGATCAGGTTAATCACTGGAAGCCTGATCCCCCTGCACATACTGAGAAACTCTTTGGGACAGAGTGTGACACACACAAGCTGCCGAAATCGGCGCGTTGAAAGGGTAGCAATTTTTTTGTCCTCAAAAACCGTTTGCAGTCAATTGCTGCGTGTCCCTTTTGGACATAGTGGTTGACCAGCTGCTCGGCTGCAGCGTCCGCGGTTGTTGGTGGGTAAGTGTAGGTATAGATTGTGTGTAAGCGTGAAGCGATGCCGGATAGAGTGAGGCGTTGGTGGCATCCCGGATCTTCCAGGATTGGGTGGGTTGAATGTAAGTGATAGTGCGTTGCGTGAGGTCAATGTAGAACCCCAGGAGATGGTAGTCTTCAACTGTCTCAAGGTCGCCAAAAAAGTCGTGGTGAATGAGAGTTTGGATGGCTGGGTGAGAGAGGAAATGGTCGTTGTGGACAATGAAGCGGTTGTCGACGTAGCGGTAGTAGTTGAAGTGGAAATCGGTGTGGTGAAGGAGCTTGTTGTGGAGCTGGTGCCAGGAGTGTTCAATGAGTCAATGAGTGTGATGGCCATGTTGCACAGGGCTGGTGACAGAGCTGGGAGCCAATCCGAGCGCCACGAATTTGCTGGTAGGTGTGGTTGCAAGCCCGGAAATACAAGTGTTGAACGCAAAAGCCACGATGGTGGCGACGTCAGCAGTGTGGAGGGCGCGTTGTGTGGGACGTCGAAGATGGTGGTGGTACGGGTTGCCGGTGGCTTGGGTGTCAATGGTGATGGTGTGAGTGGATTGCTGTTGTTGCCATTGCTGGACCAGGCTGTGGACGGCGTCGATCAGGCGATGCTCCTGGACTGAGTTGAAGAAG